CAATACAAGTCTCATCAAACTCATCATCAGGCTAAAATCTGCTGTTATTACGAGGAAGATTTTGATAGCATTTATATGTACTTTTCTAATGACACGAGGTTTCATATGACAATCACCCGATACCAAGTTTTCATCAGTCCATAATATGCGGCTCCATTGTTCATCGCTCCAATCTAAATATAATTGGGCGAGCTCCAATCTTTTCTGCTTGTTCATCGCGCTTAACGGGGGCTTCTTCCGAGCAATGCATCTGCTGTAACCTCTTTTTCCGAGTGCATTAGAAATTAGCCGTTCACTGCATCCCCAGTGGCTGAAGGGCCCCATTGCTAGTTCCAAATAGCACATCTGTCGATTTTCAGGAGACTCCCGGACGAATACTTCAAGGTCATCTACTTGTTCCGCGCTTAATTTTGGTAAGGGTCCTTTGCGAGACATAGGATTGTCAGTCTCTCGAGCACACGCAAGTTGTACTTGTCTTATTGTGAAGCCAAGTTTGTCGGATATATTTTGAAGTGTCAAGCCAAGTCTTCTTATTGCTCTTATTTCTATACATTGATCGCGAGTTAGATGCTTGCGAACTTTAGTTTCTGAAGCAGACTTTTCGAGAGACATTGTTTGCCGGAATAGAGGATGAATTGATAGTGGTGTGTAGTTTCAGGAACTGTTTTGTTTTGTTCATTAACGTGCTAGGTTACATGGCTACCGTTGCACTCCTATTGGAGCTTAAGCACGTGCGGGGTTGGGCCGGATCAGGTTAACTACCGTGAAGTACAGATAAACCTCGTCCCACTTTAATGACCGGACCACCTCAGACTTCACCCATGTGTTGAATCATACCAAGCCTAACCGTCCAGAAACCCGCTGTATACACGCTGTAGCGCAATTCCCTCCTCAGCCTCGGCCACCACGCGCCCGAGCCCTTGACATCCTCATTGACTCCGAAATATAAATGCCGTTCAAGATCTCATCGTTGCTCTAGCCTTGCACCTTCATATCGTACCGTTGGGTTGTTTTCGTCATTGGGGATTTGTGTAATCCACTCGGTGTATCTTCCCTCCTCTTCTTCCTCCTTTGTACACGTCCCGTTTCCATCATGACTTTCCTCAATAGGGCGTGTGTAAGTAGGTGATCGGACGGGTATGGAGGTAGGTCGCAGGTGTAGGATCGATTGAGAAATGATTCGTCGCAAGTATAAAAGGAGTTTAAGAGATGTCGGATGTTTGAATACGACCCCCAGATAGACCTAGGCCCATTCGTGAATCGTATGTTGGTGATGATGACATTTTGTTCGACGTTGTTCCGGCTGTGAAATCTCTGTCGACTGATTTTTCGACCAAAATATCGAGCGAAACCCCATCAAGTCGAAAATCCATCAATTAAAATTCATCCCACCCATTTTCGTGACTGAATCTCGGCTCTGGGAGAATATTTCACTCCCAGGTTCGTAGAGGACACCACTGACAGGTGTTCAGCCTTCGTCCTCCGTTTCGGGAACTGTGTTGGTTAGGCAGCCAAAAGTGTCGTTGAAATTGTGTTTTTCTAAGCGATTATGAGAAGAAGATGATTGGACCATACTTCATGGCGAGCGGGGTTTGGAGGAGAGACATACTAACCTATTACGAGCTAGCCCAACTGCGCCTACAGGGCTAATCCCTTCAACCACCCAGCTTGAAGTTTTACCTTTTGGAACCTAGAGGCACTGTACACTATTCTATAACTGCTCATAACCTAGTCACAACAACCTAACCCTACGAAAACTCGAGCTCCAGCCTGAAAGACAACTTGGGGCACAGTAGCTCGGGCAGGCCTAGTCAGCGACGCTGGGCCATCGACAATAAAGGCAGCAACGCCCGCCCAGAGAGAAAAAAGTTCCATTTCGGATGTAAAAGTCGTGAATCGACTTTTTCTACGCCCTGATTTTTCCATTCCCACCGTCTCCTCTCCCCAGCTGGAGTAAGGCTAGCGGTGTCTCAGGCGCTGGGAACCGCTGCCAACAATATCACGTCGGTTCAGCGGGTAAAAACAGGCTTTGCGCTAACAGCAATGGATGAACTCGCTCGGAAAGAGCTCCTAGATTCCTCCACATCACGGAGCGAATCTCGAATCAATCTGGAACCTGCATCAAATCTGGTTGCCCTGCAAATTGCAACCGTGCCGGTGAAAATTAATATACGCAAGGGTTCCGTTTCCATCACGGAAGAGATGGCCGCCGACGAAGTCACGTGAGTGACGAAATCGGTTCCGTTTCTTGTTCGTCCGCACGGGAACTGCAAGCTTGGGGCGCCATACGAGAACTGGCAAGCTCTCCTTCCTCGCGAGTCCACGCCCCGATCTGGATTTCGCATCTTCAATGACTCCGGAGCTACAAAACTCTTCCAACCTCGTCGACAAGTTGAACAGCGCAAGCGCTGTATGGGCTTCCACGCCACCCGTGGTTGTTCCCGCGCTCCAGCCTACTGGAACTACGGATCAAATATGCACTTGGAAGCCAAGTGCAAGGCCCTCACTTAGTGTTACAACTGTGGGGGACCCCATCGATCAGATTCTCGGGCCTACCAAGCCAGACCCAAGAAATTCGGACCGGCAACAAAAGAGCTGCTTGCGATAACTCGCAAGGTCGAGCAGAAAAATCTCGCAGATTATGCTCGTATCAAAGCTGCAGCCGAAGTAGCCATTCAGGCGAATCACGGCGCGAAAAACGACGTCTACATATCAGACGGATCGGGGTTTGGAATTCTGGAATCCGAAGAGAAGGTTTGAGGTTGTGGTCAGCCACAGTGAAATCGTCGAGGCTCCGACATACTAACAGCAGGACACCAGATGGAAAAAGGGTGCCTGCGAGCTCATCTTCTGCTCTCAGCGAAGGTCAAAATTTTTAACGTGGAAGATTTGGCAGGATAAGGAACGGGCGAGACGCGCGGGATCTGGACATAATTGTGATTTCTTCTGAATTTGATTTATGTTTTTCATTTTTGTTTATGATTTTAGTTTTGCTGTTAGCACCTCTATTTATACCTCTATTTATGTGGAAATTCACGCGGTTGGAATAAGTTGGGTCTGTATACAGTGATCCTTACCGGCTTCACCTGTCCTTGACCCACTGTGGAAAAATTAGCATTAGCTTAGGACAAAAACAATAAAACAAACAGAACAAACATAAGGTCTCATGTTGGCCAGCTCAGTCTACACAAACTACCCGAAGTTTCGATACTTTTAAATAAGCCCGGCATGTTATAAATGAGCTAAGGCCTACCTGCCATGCACCCCGAACTATCGAAAGAAGTCAAAAGTTCTCTCCAGCTGAGACTTTTATATTCTAATACAGTAGAGAAGATAGTTATGTATATGAAAAGGAAAGTTATCCATCACCTAGACCAGAAGTCTTTTAATCTGAGCTCTAGCAAATACAGGCCAAGTGTTCATAGTTTGGAGTACCATTTAGTATTGTTATTGCATGCTTCAAAAAAGCATGTTTCATGAAGCCATTTACTAAAAGCTATGGCTCCTTCAGGTGAGCCTAGGATCCAGCGAATTCTCGTCGTTGGCTGTTTATTTCCGCTGCAACGGCGGGACCGACCCTGATTGAGTCTACAAAAGAAGAAGTGCCCGGGAGAATTTTCTAGCCCGCAAGCACAGATGAGAAGGGCGTCCGAGTGATGAAAGCGGCGGCGGTAGTCAGCAAAGTCTTCATGACCTGAGCGAGATGCAAGAAGGCGACCAAGAGCGTAGCGGTTAAGGCTTTTGAGTTCGGGGGAGGTGCTACACTATATGATATACTCTACATAGTCCGTGTGACTCCACAGTCATGTGAATTTACATGTCAGTTGTTGCTGGAACCGCTGATAATTCCCACATTCACGCTTTCAGCATGAAAACGCCACCCTTACCTGCTCATGCGGAGAAGAGAAGCCCCCCGACCACTTTTTCTATTGCAACCTCGGGCAGTACTAGGCAGAGCTCTTTAGGGCTCAAAACTTCAATCCTACCATATCTTGGGCTCTTGCTATAGCGGAGGGAGCTCATGCATTCAGTAGCTGGGTGCATGATACAAGCTTTTTTCGAAAAGCACAACAAATCTGACGAGAATGAAGTCATTTAATAAAAGCGTGAGAACTTTAAAGCGACGCAACTAATTTTCTCGTTACTAATTTTATTTCTTTGCTTTATATTCTCCATGGAATAACGTCTGCAAATCATGACAGACAACGGGATACTGATATTCATTTTTAATTAAATCTTCGAGGACAGGATAATAAAATCCTAGTTTTCATTTGCTATGTTGGGTCTATGTGGGCGCCAACACGTCAGGTAATGGTACATAGACTGGGATAACCGGTACGTGAGGAGCTCACGTGCTGTGCGCGGGCACGACGTTAAATATTATAAACAAATAAATAAATTCCCACATTCAGACACCCACTTACAAAATAGAGCTGGCAAGCATCAGAAAGGTATTTATTGCTATACATGGATTATAGAAGTAAATAGGACGACCTACTTCTGGCTTTGCTTAAAATTGGATGTATATTCGGATGCTTACATATCGAATAGCCCGGGTAGGCTTAGTAAGCCCAGCAAGCAACGAGTGTAGTCGTACTCTCTCATAGCACATAGTGGAAAATAAATTAACCAAGTTTTATTTGAAGAATATTTTTTAATCTATGTCGTTCTGTTTTAAGCTTCGCCAGTAAGCTTTAACCTTATATTTCAGGTACTAAAGGGCGCTAGTCATGGTTTGAGTCTTAGCCTAGAGATATTAAGCTTCAGATAAACATCTATTGACGTTGTAACCACTTAGTTCTCACAGTAAAGATACACAGTATTATGTACTTCAAGAATGTAGTATCTTTTATTTAGGATATAGGACTTTTGGGTAACAAATCAAGGCGTAAAAAGAGATGTCACGTCGATTACTTGATTGTTTGCAAAGTAGTTATCAATAATTAACTGTTTTGAAAAAGTACTGGTTCCAGACCATGGAATGGTTACACTTTGGCAAATTAAAGAGTAAAATCAAATTCTCGAAAGGCTGCCTTGAACATTCGTATATCTCTTTTCTCTTCATCTTCCGACTGAACACAGTCCCTCCATTGAATTCGCTGTTCAAGTCCAAGAAGCTTTGCCAGCACAGTTCGTCCATATTGGAGAGAGAATTTAAAATCTTGTTCGAAGAACATTGTGATACATTTGGAAGTTTCTTCAATTTTTTCTCCATTCGGTGGCGCCCAAAGCCATAACCGAAAAAAATTTCCCTCGTGTAGACCTAGCCCGAGATCTCGGTCTAAAAAGGCCGGGTAGGATAGATTATCTGCTTCGACTCTGAAGGCCGCTTCAACTAGACCCTCACGGACCAATTTTTCTGAAATAGGAATTAGCTGCCAGTGTATATGAACACCATTTGTTTTGCTTATTTCATAAGTTATTGTGCCAAGTTTATTTCCACTATTACTTGCAATCATATTCTGTATTGATATCCTGAATCGTGTCATCTCTGTGAAAGTCTTCTCCCTGGCATTTTCCTCTTCGGGAATGGATGCAAGATTAGGCGAGTGAGCAAGTGGGACAATTAGTACGTGTGCTGGAAAACATATCCCAAAATGAGCATTCGTAGTGGATGTAGTCAGGGGGCCTTTTGCGATCGTAAGGTAAGAATCTTCACCAATTGAAGAAATAAGGTGAGTTGCTATTGAAGGGTTTGAAAGGCAAAAAAAGCACTCTCCAGGTCCAGGAGGTTGAAATTTATTGTCCCGCTGGCTCCTTGAGTGCGTACCCCTATTCCTCTTGATACTAGGCTGACCATACCTAGAAAACGGGTCTACATCTGATGCCGGTCTTTTTCTGATGCATCGTTCCAAATTCCATGGTGGATTAGTGACTCCGGTGGGAGCTGGTGAGCTAGAATTTACCGGTAATGAGAGATTAAAGGCGTACATAAACTTTTGTTTCGATGTACCATATGAAGCCAGCGAAAGAAAGCGAGTAATCTGATTGTTACCTGGAGCATTTTGAATAAGGTCTTGGTAGAACGGCTCGCGTTCAAAGAATAAGGAAGGAGAGACGGAAAAGTGGTATCGGGGCTTAATGGCGGCACAGAGGTCTGATATATGTTTGTAACCTACTGGCAACATAGAATCATTTGCGACGGGAACTCTGGAACCATTCCTGATACCAGCTGGCCAACAATTTGTGAGAAGTATATCTGCTGAGGTGTTACCGTACAATGCTTTTGCATCAGCTACCGTGTGGAGTGGTAGATATTGGTCCTGGGATAAGCCACCGACTATTGGGTCGCCTGGTTTCCCTCCAAGAGTTACAATCTTAACACCATCACTAGTTGTTGTGGTACAACGCTTTCCCAAATAATAAAGGTTCGGGTAAATCTTTTCAAGGTCAGTGGATTTAGTTTAGAATTAACTTGTGACGCACTTCTTCGTTTTTTTCAATTTTATCTACAATTAATTGCGGTAGAGGGTTACTGCCAACTGTGAAATACGTTGGAAATGGTATAAAGACGTTGCCAGCGAAAAGTTCTGTCGTATGTGCTTGATCTTCGGAAAACAAATTCCCCGCAATAATAGCAAGATTGAAATTATTTTTAGTATGTAGTGCAGCTAGTCTGGAAAATATTGGGTGTAGCTGGCCGTTTACATCCCCAATGACAATGCTGAAAAAGTTAGCCTCTGAATAATATCATTTGTCCACAGTTTGTATCGAATTACAGCAGTCGAAGAATCCTGATTGAGGGCATGTAATATAAAGAAGACTAACATCTTGCAAGTCATTGCGAATCTGTGGACTGGTTGCTGTTGATCGGAGTTCAAGCGGTGTTCGGATTATCCGTAAGAGTACTGACGCGCCCTTGTCACAACTCGGCTGGGCCAAAGGCGCATGGGTGCATAATTTCTACAATCATTTAGGTCAATCGTTCTGATACAATTAAATTCGAATTAGCCTACATCACAATCGCGATGCCGGCTAATTCTTCTCAGAGAATTGTGAAGAAACGAAAGGTCAAGTCTGGAACTTTGCATCAAAAAAACCATAGGTGGGAGTCTTTCACGACGAAAATCTCAAAACTCAACTCTCTCGATCCTCTTCGAAAAGTTCGCCGACATGACAATGAACCTGGGGATACCTCTACAACCGTCTCTTACTTCAGAATAGGTCTAGAAAAATGGTCAGAGCTAAATATTTCAGAAAAATTTGTTTCTTTTTCACATGAGGTCAATCCGATATCCCAGAGCCTACCGCAAATAATTCATTTTGAGGACAAAATTATAGAAATAATTATGTTGTACATTGGAAAACAAGAAAAAGACTCTCTTGAACCTATACTGGAATTAATGACTGATCTTGCACACGATCTTGGTCATCGGTTTGAAAAACACTTCGCCAAAATTCTGGCTGCATTAATTTCGATCGCAGAATCGTCCCAGGATGTTTCTGTTATTGAATGGTGTTTTAGTAGTATGGCATTTATGTTTAAATATCTCTCAAAATTATTAGTTCCTGATTTACGGGCAACTTATAATCTAATGGCATCTCTACTTGGAAAGAATCAGCAGAGACCGCACATAGCACGTTTTGCTGCTGAGGCATTATCTTTTCTTGTGAAAAAATCCGGCGCACCTGCCCACCGAGAAAAAGCTCTACCGTTGATAATGCGACACATAAAAACTGATCTATCTTCAACGAAGGATTCGAAGCAACATACATTGTATTACCACGGTGTGATGAATTTATGTGCAGAAGCAATTAAAGGACATGGCTTCAGTATTCATACTGCAGGACCAGAAATATTTAGGGAAATGTTTCAGGCTCTTGATGAAGACGATCTACTAGCAAAGAAAAGTTCAATATGGATGAACGTAATATGTGGAGTTCTTACGAGTCTATTACACCATACTAGCCATGAGACCTTTGGAGTTATCATAAATGTGATAGATGAAATGTTCATTAAACTTGAAACTGATCATAAAGAAGCGAGAGATCCTTGTAATCAACGTCGAGCTCTACTTCTAGTGCGACTTATCGGTATTTATGCTGGTGTACGTAAAGGTAATCGAATACAAAATTGGCCCAATACAATCAAAACTTTGTCTGGAATTTTGCAGTTATATGTGCAAAGCCCAAATACCAATTTAAGGAGTGCTGATAACGATGAAATATGGGACCCATTGGTTTTTAGCACCGGTGTAGTAATTCAATATGCACCGACAGAGTCCCTGATCGGTTACATTTCGTCCATATTGGATACTCTTACAAAGAAACCGCTTGCAGAACACTTTCTAAAATTCTGTTGCTATGTTTCTGAAACTGTGCCAGACAGGTTCAATAGCATAGTATTACCATATTTCCAAAGGTAAGAAATTTTGTTGCAAGAATCTCAAGATCCGATTTAACAGGCTATCAGATTTATAACTTCCTATTGGTCGGATGACAATAATGAGGATTCAATATCTATTATCCTGCCCAGAATGTTCTCATCGGGAACATGCTCCTCAACCATTTCTGGAAAGAATAGTTTGACTCTTCCGCAGTCCTGGCAGGACCGAATTGTTAGCAAGTTTGAACAGCTTGAGTCCTACTCTAACACCGACGGTGAAGTCTTAACAGCAAGTTTCTCCGAAATACTTCCGCATTGTAATTCTATACTTCAACTTTTAACGATTACCACGATTCATCCTTCTACTACTGCTAAAATTGCAGATATTCTTCTTCGGAACTTAAAACTAGCATTTGCGCCAAACCCAACTATCCCACAAGTTTTAGCAAACTTTATGGTTGGGAAAGGATTTAATGCCTTCATTAAGCTAACTAAAAATACTAATAGGGTGGACAGCACGTTAGGGATCTTAGCACTCGAAGCTATTCCACGCTATAGCCGCCTTCCCGATTTCCTTTACGCAATGCTTGAGTATGAGCTGAGCATATCAGAGATACGAGGAAATGGGGATCTCATACTATCTATAAGAAAAGACACTGAGACCATCACGCTTCTCACCAAATCATTGATCTCTAATTTTCTTACAGAATCTCATGAACTTCGGTTACTTTCCTCGCGACTTTTGGGTAAAATTTACCAAAACGGTGGCGAATTAGACAATGAAATTCTTTCCACAATGATAATGATCGAGGAAACGTCTCCTAGCTTACTAACAGCTCGCTCTAAATCTATGCAGATCCGAAAACTAGGAAAATTCTACTCGAATCTGGCCTCTGATTCATGGCTTCGAGATGCAATACTAGCATTTTGTTTTGGTACCTTGACCGTCAAATTTGCACAGGTTTGGGAAGATACATGTGAAACCCTAAGAACAATAGCTCAGGTAAGGGGCGGTGAAGAGGCTATCTCGAAGATAGTCATTGTGTGGCTGGAGAATCCATCAATCGTCAATGAATTTTGCGATAGGAGGATCGAGTCACAATCAAATAATGGCCTAACCGACTTCGAGTGCTCAAACTATATTAATCTACTCCATCTTTCTCAAGAAATCGAATCAATTGTGTCTAGCTCTAGCGATGGTATCATTAAAACATTTTCAGATTCCCAGAAATTAATTGCACCTTATCCTCGAGTAGCTAGAATGCAAGCCTTGCGCGTGTTAACTACTTTACCTAGCATTGCTGAGAAGCACTCTCGCCAATTAGTACCAATGTTTTTGTCCTGGGCTCGTCCAATTTCCGAAAATGATAATGTTGAAGAAGCCAAGGGCGCTCTAGTCAGTGACTGGACGAGAAAGGATCAAAAATCTCTTCTCGCACTGTTCGCACACTTTGTCAACCCAAAATCTCTCTACAAGTCTGAAATCGTATACGAATCGCTTCTAAAGATGCTTGAAAATGGAGATATTGAGATCCAACAGTCTGCCTTACGGGCGATATTCACGTGGAAATTTCCAGAGATCAAACCATATGAAGAGAATTTATTGAATCTTCTTGATCAAGCTAGGTTCAAGGAGGAATTGGGGCTTATTTTCCAAGAACAAGGTTTACTACAGCCTGGACATAAAACAAGAGTTATGCCTATATTACTGCGCATATTATATGGCCGATCAGTATCCCGAAAAGGAGCTGCTAGCGGACGCCAAGGAATGGAAGCTAGAAGACAAGCTGTGATTCGAGCACTTAAGCCTGAAGATGTCAACCAGTTCATTGAAATTGCGCTTGGCGATTTGAAAGACCTTCAGCTAATACAAAATGGTCAAATTGATGATGCTGTTTTGGATACAGCAAGTTTAAGCTTTAGAAAGCAAGCTGGACTTGTTCACATGATTGAAGGGGTAATTAAGGAGCTTGGAGCACAAGTAGTGCCCTTTACCCAAAAGCTGCTGTATCCAGTCCTTTTCTGCATTGTCTCTAGCTCTAGGTGGATTAAGTGTCACAGCCAAGAATTCGATGAAATCTATGAGGGTAATGATAAGGTGTCGTCTCAGAACTCTCTTATCAAGAGTGTGCGTCACATCGGATTAAAATGTTTAGTCCTTTTATTTTCAAATTCACCAGTATTCGACTGGTCTTCTAGTTTTAGCACAATCAACTTGGAAATTATTGTTCCAAGGTTAGAAAGACTACCGATTGAAAACTCCCAGGGTATTTCTATCATGATGAAGCTCTTTTTTGCATGGTCAAGTCATGTAGAGACTGCACAGTTTCTTGGTATTAACTGTCAAGTTATTCCTAACATTATTGAATGTTTGGTATCAAGCAAGACCAAGATCGAAGTCAGACTTTACATCCTAAGAATCATAAAAAATATTGTTAGACTAGTGCACGAAGATTCAAAGGAACAAGGTATTCTTGGGTTAAATAACAAACTGCTCGCACCGAATATGGATACCCTTTTAATCAAAATTGGCCATATCCTACGAAGCCAACAAGATTTGAGCAAAAATCTACTTGAAGCATGTGTAGAAACTGTCACGGATTTAGTTCCCTTTGTAGATTCATCTACAGAAGGCAGAAATCTTGTTGAAATATCTGTATTCTTGCTTGATCAGCCTTCTCGTCGTATCAATCCCAAAATCAAGGGAGGCTTACTTCTTATACTTGAAAAATTTATTCCATTGTACAATCTTCAAAGGGACCTTGAATTGACGGAAAAGGTTTATCGGACAGTATCTTCACTTTTCGGATTTTTTAAAGATAAGGCCTCGAGAGAAGTACTATCTCGTGTCCTGAAAGTCTATTCGGTTAACGACACAATCCTCAATGATATTGCCTCTATATGTATAGATTTAAACTCTTTCATAGAAGGTCGTCTAGATGAGCCAGATTTTGACAGGCGATTAAAAGCTTTCCATGAAATCGAAAATATTAGCAAAAAGCACATCACCGCTCGTCAGTGGTCGCCAGTCATATTTAATTTGTTGTATTATATAAGACAACAAGAGGAGTTTAGTATATTGTCTGCAAACTCATCGGATTGTCTTTGCCGGTTTATATCTGCTGCTGCAAACACATCTGGAGAACATGAGAGATCCGAATTTGAACAGATTCTTTCAGACACTCTTATGCCAGCTCTATTTTCTGGAATGCGAGAATCTTCAGAGATAATCCGAAGGGAATATTTGAAAGTGATGGCCAGTCTTGTTCATAATTTTCCTGAGTGGGCCGAGGTTTCAGACATGCACTGCCTTCTTGCGGGTGAGAAAGAATCGGAGGATTCTTTCTTTAGCAATATTATCGCAGTCGGGAAAGGTCGTCAATCAAGTGCCCTGGGTCAGCTTGTTAAATTTGCGGAGAAGGGAGAGTTAAGCAGCAGGAATGTTAGTCACTTCTTCATCCCACTCATTGAGCACTTTATTTTCGATCGTGCAGAGGGAAGCGATGCGCATAGTCTCGCAGCTGAAGCTACGAATACTCTCGGGGCTCTTTCAGCACTACTTGAGTGGCCTCAGTATCGTGCGATGCTCAAAAGGTTAATTGGATATATTGAGCAAAAGCCCGAACTTGAGAAGCAAACTATTAAACTTCTTAGTAAACTGACTAATATGCTGGCTTCCGTTGCCAACACACAAGCTATAACAAAAGCTGATATAAAAATATTTCCAATAAATAATAAATTATCTTCAACTATGCCCAAGCAGCAGAAGCTCGCAGACGATTTGACATCCCAAATACTACCTTCTTTGATGAAGTATCTTCATGAAAAAGACGAGTCAACCGTTAGTCTTCGAGTTCCTATCGCTATTATCATAGTTCAGCTGTTAAAGCTTGTTCCCAAGGATTTAATGAATGAAAGATTACCAGCTATACTAACGGATATATGTCATATTCTTCGGAGTAAATCTCAACAATCTCGGGACTTGACCCGAGAGACTCTCGCAAAAATATGTGTTATTCTGGGACCGTCATGTTTTGGATTCGTGCTCAAAGAACTCAGAGGAGCCTTGGCAAAAGGTTATCAATTGCACGTCTTATCGTATACAATACACTCGTTGCTTGTGGCAACAACATCTGAATATAGAGCTGGAGATTTAGATTACTGCATGCCGTCTATCGTCGCGATTATAATGGATGATATTTTTGGTGTTACTGGCCAGGAAAAGGATGCTGATGAGTATATAAGCAAAATGAAAGAAGTCAAAAGTAGTAAAAGCCATGATTCCATGGAATTGATTGCCAGGACGACATCACTCACTCGCATAGTAGACCTTATACGACCTATTCAAGTTCTCCTTAACGAAAAGCTAAATATTCGGATAGTTCGAAAAATTGATGAGCTCCTTAATAGAATCAGTAATGGATTATTGAAAAATTCTGCCGCCGCAAGTAGAGAGAGTTTAGTATTTTGTTATGAAATCATCCGAGAGACATGGAGCTCTCAAAAGCCCGCAAAGAATAACAAGGAAGACTACCGCCTTAAGAAATATCTCATTCAATCGGGCGCTAAAAAGTCTGGCGAACGAGGTAGTACGACAATATACACATACAAAATGGTACGATTTTCTTTCGACGTCATGCGCGCTATTTTTAGGAAGCATGATAGCCTTCGAACTCCAGCCAACATCTCTGGATTCATCCCTATCCTAGGAGATGCTATCGTATCAGCTGAAGAAGAGGTGAAAATCTCAACCTTCAAATTACTCGCAACTATTTCCAAAGTTGATTTGGTAACAGAGAATGACGGAAACGGCCTTTATCGTATAGCTTTAAATGAAGCAATGAAGGCTGTTTTGGCTAATTCTTCGTTAACCTCAGATATTTCCCAGGCTGCAGTAAAACTTATCTCGGTCATCCTTCGTGATCGTCGAGATATACCAGTAAATGAAAACGCTATTGACAATATATTAAAGAGAATGAAAGATGACCTCACCCAACCTGAGTGTCGTCATATAACTTTTAACCTAATCCGTTCAATTCTAGACCTTAAAGTTCAAACTGCGATTGTCTACGATACTCTTGATTATGTCGGAACGGTGATGATTACCAATCCCGACAAAGATACAAGAGATCTAGCCAGAGGTGCTTACTTTCAGTTTCTGCTAGAATTTCCTCAGAAAAAAAATCGATGGACTAAACAACTCAATTTCATCGTTGCAAACTTAAACTACGATTACGAGGGTGGACGACTGTCTATTTTGGAAGTTATTCAACTCTTACTTACAAAATCTGGGCCCGATTTTGTCCAAGAAATTTCCTCTATAACATTCGTACCGTTAGTCTTTGTTTTAGCTAATGATGAAAGTGAAAAGTGCCGCTTAATAGCTGGTGAAGTCCTAAAGACCATTTTCAAAAAAGCAGATATCGAAAGAATGAGTGCATTTCTTAGCCTACTGCGATCATGGGTAAAAGATAGTGAAAATCCCTCAGTAACTTGCCTTGCCTTTCAAGTTTTCGGCATTTACTTCGAATCCCGGGACTCTGATGACAAAGATTTTTCAATAATATCTGAAGCAATTTTGAAGACTTTGCATTTAGCGGAAGTGAAAAGTACAGACTGGGAACAGATATATTGTGCACTCCAGTTAGTGATTATCCTTGTCTCCAAATTTCCGGTCATCTTTTTATCGTCTAAACAAAAAGGTCTATGGTCACTAATACGTGCTTGCCTGTCTTTTCCTCACGCTTGGATCAAACTCTCTGCTGCAAAACTAATAAATGTTTACTTTTCCGACTTTGCTCGGCTAAACTTCGCAACAAGTCTAAAAGGTTTACCTATTAAAGGATCGGGCCAACTTGAATTAAATATTAGGGACATCGTCGATTTTATACGAAGACTAGTCGAAATTTACAAAACCCCCGGACTCTCCCAACTGCTTGCGGATGAAGTAGTCAAAAATCTAGTATTTTTAGCAAAGGTTGCCAGTGTAAACGATGTAGAGTTGCAGATAACTTCTCAAGATCTTGACGATGAAAAAGACGATAATTCATGCGGAGAGGAGCACGCAACCGAAAGAAAAACAGCTTTAGGCTTCCTCTTCAGGCGTCTTAGCTATATCCTTCGAAGAGAGACCGTTCCACCCCGGTCTTCTGCTTTGGTACCAAAAATTAGCTCTATGCAGCTTCTTCTTCATCTATCCTCTATACTTTCAAATGAATGTCTTGAACGCCACCTAGAAGTAATATTATTACCACTATTGAATATCACTGATCCTAAAATTCCAATTCCATACTCCACTGAAGAAGATTTCCGTGCTAGATATGAGGACCTAAGATCAAATGGGGATGAAATAATGGAAATATTCAAAAGCAGACTAGGTACTCAGGTTTATACTTCAGCATTGCTAAAAGTTAGGGAAGGTGTCAAGGAGAGAAGATTGAAGAGGGGAATAAAGAGAAAGGTAGAAGCTGTCAACATGCCTTCAAAATATGGTGAGAGCAAGAGGAAAAAGGGAGAGAGGAAAAAAGAGCGAAGGAAGGAGAAAGGAGCCGATCATGCAAGAAAGAGGAATCAGTTGTGAATAAACTATAATTTCCCTTCCAAAATGGGTTCATCTGGCGGAGTTAAATTTTTAAAATTGAATCAAGCAGTTAGTATGGAGTTATATTGTGGGTGTCCGGCTATTCCTCATGCCAAAGATAGCAATTGTTCAAGTTTCCTAATTATAGGTCCGAGGGTCTTATTTTACATTGTTTGAGTAGATGTTACAGTAGTTTAAGTAAGGATCGTAAATGTCAGAGAAAGTAAATTCCATAATTCATGTGTCAGCTCTTGGATCTCCGTCAGACCATACCTCAACTGTGCCATCATCGCTGAGAATTCCTTTTTTGACTCGTTGCCCTTGTTCACGCATTATATCTTCGATAGTTAGATCTTTATCAGTAAAAATCTGTATTTTTTCAGCAATACAATCGTCTTTGCTACATGCGTCGAATGCTTACTCTCAAGTGGTCACTAATAACATGCCGATTTTTGCAGCCAGGGCATGTTGCAAGAACAGATCCGTGATGGTAGCCTTGCTTAGAGATACGATGAGTTGAGCGTGCCTCACATTCCTTACAAGTAAATATCAATTCATACTCAGGTCTCGGTGAAGAAGGCGTGGTGGAACTATCTTCACAATGATTACTTTTTCTAGGAAGACTAGTAGAATTGTCGTTGTTAATGCGATGTCTAGCGGTCAAATGAAAGTGCGACAGTAGTGAGTGTGAATTTTGCAGCCGTAATGATTTTCGAAAGATGAAAGGAGAGACAGTTCTAGAGGGTGGGCCCGTAATTATTCTCTGTAAATTAAGAGCGTCTCTAAGAGTAGGGCGTGTTCTGATAAATGCGCCCATGACTGTGAGCCATCGATGTAATGAGCCAATATTATTAGCCAGGTCACGAGATCTGATATGCCCCTGGAGTTAACGTTAAACAGGCTCGTTAAGTGACTCAGATTGATGTCTATATCAGATCAGAGCAGTCTGAAGAAAGACTGGATATTTTGTGATCATCAGAGTTGGTAGATGTTATATGATTAGTTTAATTTGATGAAGAACTTACGTCTAGTGCACAGGTTATTAAGTGGGTCACATGCTGGCCTGCCAAAACCCGCTTCAAGCATCCCACGCGCAGCAATAGAATTGACCTTCGGACGGATGAAAACCTGTCAGTAGTGTCCACTACAAACCTGTAGTTCAGAAGTTACCACGACGCTGAGATTAAGTCACGACATAGTTGGAGGTGGGAGATTCCGTCGAGACGGCCCTAGGGAGGAGTGGTGCTGGCATGTTTTGGTTGAAAACCTGACCTACAGATTTCATCACACCACAAATCATCGAATTCTGCCATATTCATTTCAAATAATAACCGTAAATAATCGCAAAATTATCTGATATTCGAATCACATTGAGCTAACACCTTTTGCCTAATTCGTTTTCCTGATAGATCTATCTTGGCTAAATTAAACTTGAGGTCCTCTTAAAAATTATCTCACCACCAACCAAAGTAATTCAAATTCAAGAAGTCGGAATCATATCATAAAATATCCGAAAAGATCACGCTTGATGAAGGTAGGGCCGGAGGGCAAGACTGAACACCTGTGCGTGGTGTCCTTTACGAAGCTGGGAGTCAAATATTCTCTCAGAGCCAAGTTAGGCAAAATTTCGCAATACCGAACAAGCTGGCCCACGAGGCAATGATTCAAATTACTCCACCATGTCAATCTTTCACTCCCAACGAAATCGAATGCTACCTAAGCCTCATCAAGTCTACAAGTACGACCTAGTACATCCTCATTCCAATGACAGCACGTCTTGTCGGCTCTCTCTGGCCTCAGCTGGTCGCTAGATACACACCCACGCGGACGTTTACACCCAACTGAGGAAGCAAAGCGTGGCGCAGAAATCTGGGAGACTGTTTTTTGAGATTGGCGTGAGAGGATTCAGGACAAGTTTATAAGATGATGTAGGGGATGGATACAGTCTCGACGGGTGTGGAATTTTGAATATTGGCAACGAGTTTTTACAAATTAAGCTTTGTGCGTGTCAAGGCTTCGGTTGCGAGAGCGCAGGCGACACTGTAAACACAGTTATGGTTGGATGGTGTGGTGGTACATCTTCTAGTACAGTCTCTCATGCAAGGTCTAGGTGGCTAGGACACAAGTTCTATTCAAGAGAGGAGATAGCCGCTTCGAATCCGGTAAAACACAACCACATTTTTGCGGCGCTGGTAAACATGGATGACGAATGCACGCTCGGATAATCAAAGGTTTTGAATTTCACTTTGGTGGGTACTTGCGGAGGAGGGTCGACTGTGTGTGTGTTTATTGTGCTACTTGAGTCTATGACTATCTAGCACATTGGGCTCCTCTCTGACCCAGGCCACACCTTGTACAGTGCTCCTTGCCTCTCATGTTTCTCTGAAGGTCATTGATATATTGCGAGTGATCAATAGCCATTCAGCTCAGTGTTTACCCATGAAATTCGGCCACCTTTTCCACGGAACCTTCTACCCAAAAAAAAAAAAAAAAAAAAAAAAAAAAAAAAAGGTTGCAATGGAAACTGCGTGCGCGGGAAAAAGTCTCGAAAAATCTGCAGCCCCAGCCAGGCGAGGCCTAGACACCGGGACCACATGAGGTGCGCATGTTCATCTATATCGCCCTTCTTTGTAACAGTCGACGCCGACTTGATCCAATTCACCATCTCCGTATCGGGTGCTGAGTTCGCTCCGGAAACTTATCGAATGGCTTTTCCTCCATGATCAAGTGTTGGTGATGAGTAGGGCTCCGACCCTACCATCTGATCTGATCGTGGTTAGCTTCATGATAATGGTGATAGGAGGATGTGTTGAGAGATGAAGACGATACAGACGGCGAAAGCGATTGGGAACCCTTATCGAAGTAAGGACTTTGTTACTCAATCTCGGCTTCGCAGACTCTACAGTGAGAGCTGGAGGTTCGTAGGGGACACCACTGACAGATGTTGAGAAGAGTCCTCCTCATGGTATATATCGACCTGGGGCACCGTATCAAAACTGGCATGCCCTTTTTACGCGGGACAACGCCCCTCGTGCGGGCTCCCGCCTCTTCGACGAGTCTGGTATGGCTACCATTCACAAGCCTCGTCGCCAAATTGAACAGTGTAAACGCTGTTTGGGCTTCCACGCCACTCGTGGTTGCTCCCGCGCTCTAGCCTGCTGGAACTGCGGCTCCAACATGCACTCGGAACCCGAGTGCAAGGCCCTCACTAAGTGTCGCAACTGTGGGGGACCCCACCGATCGGATTTTCGGGACTGCAAAGTCAGACCCAGATAGTCTGGGCCGGTGACAAAAGAGCAGCTCGCATGGATACGCCACCTCGAGCAAGGGAAGTTCGTGGAGGCGGCTCGAGCTAGGGCTGCAGTCAAAAAGGCCGAAGAGGCGATCGTCGCCGCGGCGAAGGATGTGTCAATGGCTGAGGCAACTGGTTTCGGAGTGCTGGGATCTAAAGAAGAAGTTTGAGGACACAGCAACCTCGACGATGTCCCCTTCTGGGGCATCCACTAACAATGAGCAGGATACCGGCTGGTTCAAAGGTGCCTGCTGACTCATCTTTCGCTCTCAGCAAAGGAGTAAATTTGTCATTTGGAAGGTGTGACGGACGAGGGAATGTGTGAGGAGCACATTGACTGGGTCCATCGTGGAGGATTTTCTGGTTTTTTCGGAGTTGTTTTGATTTTCTTGATTTTTCGTTTCTGTTTAATCAGCTGCACTTTTGGTAGCGATTCACGAGGTTGGAACGAGTTAGGCTGTAGGAAAGATTACAGGGAACCCTGCCGGCTCCGCCTGTCCTTGACCCAATGTGGAAAACATAGCTTTAGCTTAAGACAAAATAAATAAAACAAAACAGTGCTTTAAAGCCCCATGCCGGTTAGCCCAGCCTATGAAGGGCTACCCGACGCACCGGCATTCCCATAACAAAAACCCGATAAAGACCCCACTGCTCCCGGTCCGCATGGTCGCCAGATCAGTCAGACTCTTCTTAAATTGATATAAATTATATAATTAAAAGCGGAAATTAAACTACATGTAGATGTTTGTATTTAGACAGCAACGCTGTCTAAATAATTAGGGCTGTCCTACAAATGTAAGTGCAAACAGAGCTTCCCCCATTAATGGTACCTTTGAAACTCTTCGAAAAAATAGAGTGGACTGAAGCCAGTCTCGGAACAAGATAGCTGCTTCTGGTGAGCTTAAAATACAGCGAGCGTCTGGAAGACGGGGGCGATTGGCTCCACGAAGCCGCGCCTGCAGTAGGCCATGTTGACATGTCATGAAATGCTCCGGCGATTTATCATGTCCACAGGAGCATGTTAAAGGTGCGCTGTTGTGTGCGAAACGACGGTGGTATGCTGCAAAATCACCATGGCCAGACCGCGCAGCGAGAAGAAGGCCGAGTGACCGACCATCCATACTAGCGAGCTCTGAGGTGATGCGGGAGCTTGGCCCGATTCTGAGCGCTCAATACCGGTCAGGGTTAAGACAGCCTTATCAATCATACTACATAGGCCAGCAGTGGGCAGTGTCACCATCCCTCGTACTTGTCAAGGGATAGAGTGAATTGAGGGAAGTTACTGACACGTGATATAACGCGTCGGATACGCGATTCACGATGTATATATTTTTACAGGACTCTACAGGAGTCTACCTCCTTCTTTGTAGACATTCTCAATCACCAGATTAGACCTCGTCAATCTACTCCATGACCTTCCCCTGACATATTATCTACCAAATCACCTTTAATTACGTCCCTCGCGCGTAATTCCTATACCCATACTGACAAATTGATTCAAATTCAAATAGTACCAAAAGTGTAATTCGTACTAAATTTTCTGCATACCTATCACAGAGATGCGCCCAAATTAAAATATATGAAATCAATAATAGAATGGATAGAAGTTCTCGAAATTATGACCTACCTAATGACGACCACACCTTTCAATTCAAAGACCAGAATATAGACTTCGTTCACATGTACCCTCTCCTCAACTCAATCCTAAACCAAGAATCTTTACTCAACGCTATGCAGGGACGCAACGCTGTAGTTAGTCCTATTTTACTCAGTAATGAAATCGTTTCCCTAGCAAGCTCATTCAGAAAATTGGAAAATGAACACCGCCATTATAAGAATGACTATGACACATTGCCTGAAAAGAATTGTGAATTCTCTGATGTAGTCTCTGATCTAAAGATAAAAGCAACTACTACCGAGAGAAATATTTCAACACATTGTATCTACCGCTCTGCCCAACACCCTGACCCAGATGTCTTCTCTGCGGATAACATTGATATGCACAAAGAACTTCCTCAATTTATCCGGAAAATAAATATGAAGTTTATCGCAAACAAGGACTGGTACCCGTCTGAAAATACTAAGATACTTTATCTAATTTCTCGCCTCAAGGGAAGAGCATACTCCACCATTTCTCATGGTATAAACAGAAATGGTTCTGTCAAATACACATCTGTTGATGCTATTTTTGTCCTCCTTGAACAAACATTTGGGGAGATTGAACCATGTAATGCAGCTCGTAGGAAAATACTTACAATTAAACAAGGACAGAAAGACACTGCCTCTCACCTTATTGACTGGTATGAAGTTGCTCAAAAAACGGAGCTTTCTGATGACGCCTTAATAAACCATCTATACTATTCTCTCCACCCCACTATTTTGTCTCATCTTCAAAATCGTGTAATGTTGCGCCAAGAATTACCGACAGACCTCTCATCATATTTAATCGAAGTTCGCCACATTGATGCTGTTCTTCGCTCATCTGATCCAGATTAAACGAAATTCCGTAATGTCCTATCTACATC